TGTCATATGGGGCAACGTCGCCATGATTCTTCTGAGGTTGTTTTTAAGAACTTAATAAATTTAGCTCAAGTTTTGATTGGTCGATGACCGAAAAGAACGCCTTCTAAATTATTCTAATCATACATTTTTTATTTTTTTTTTTAAAACACTCCAAAGTCCAATCCATCAATTCTAAAGACTAAAATATTTGATAATATACATTTTACCGTTGTCACTTAATGTCATGGTATAAGCAATTATCAATCAATTATATGACCGCACATTAAAATTAATAAGGTCACTTTGGTGACAAAAAAATTAATTTTAGAGATTTTTTGTAAACTTTCAAAGTATGTCATTTTTTAGAGTTTGTCATATTAACTTTTCTTTTCTGACAATTTGTCTCCCAAAGTAATCGAAATTGACAATTTGTCTTCTCGATTAAAACTCTAATATGACACAAAAGAATTTTTAACTCAATTAATCTTTAAAATTAGTTTAGGACTTTTAATAGCCATGACGAGACGAACAAAATGAGGTATGTTTTTTTGACTAATTCTAAAAATTGATACATTTATAATCGATCCACGAAGATTGTAGGAGCACGTGTGCATAGAAAAAATTTCAATTCAAATTTTCTGATAATCGAGATATTCGATTTTTGATTGGGAATGTCATTTGAAAGCTTGTAGGACTAATTTTTTAACGCGTAAACCTTATTAACATATTTTTTTTTAATTATTAATATGAGATCATTTAAGTGGAGTATATTTATTTACTCATGAAATATAGTGAGTCTATATACCTATTTTGTAAGTCCAAATGTATATTATGCAAATTCTTGAGTGAAACAACTTTCACAAAATAACAAATTGTGGCTCAATCTTTATTAATTTGATCACGAAGTAAATACTTCGGGTAATGTTGACAAACTTACATACTTATAGTTAAAATAAAATCTATTATTATATAATTAGACAACCCACTTACTAAAAATAGTAAGTGTTTAGTGGGTCCCTCCTTATATTACTATTTATGGAAAAATAGTTCCATTTTTTTATTATTTTATTAAACGTGTTTCAACCTCCGTTAATTATTATTATTTTTTTAATAATAGGTTAATAGTAAAAATTGAACTAAATTTGTTATTACCATTTATAGATAGACATTTTAAAATGTTTTGTCTGTTTTGATTACTCATTAATATAAAAGTAATTTTCTTTTTACATGTACATGATATGTTGAATCATAGTGAATTATTTATAATGTAAGTTAAATAATAATTTATATTTAAAGTCTTCCTAAAAATAAGAAGATATTAGATAATAATATGGTACTTATTTAAATAAAAAAATGGTTCACAAATAAAGAAATTGTAAGTATATGTATAGAAAATAATAGTTAATCAATAAGATTACATTATAAATTATAAAACCAGACAAGTAAGAAATAATATATTCAAGTGTCAAAATATGATCTAAATTACATGATAAATTCAAACAAACTGTAATAAAATGTATTAAGATAATAAAAAATTAGAGAATTTTCTTATACCCCAACTATATATATTTGCGCATTTAGTACATGATGTTCCAATTAATCAATTTAGTTACTCAACTTTTCGTTTATCAAAACTATATAAAAAACACTAAAAAAAACTATATAAAAAAATTCGTTAATACACGATACTAGTATTATTAATCCAAGAGCGCTTGGATGAGATGACTTGGGTCTCTCCAGCTTAACCAGTGGTCTCGTGTTCGAGCCCTGAGAATGCAGCAGTGTTAAAACTCTTGAGGGAGAGCTTTGCCGCCCTTGTGGTCCTACCCGGCTCGATTCCGAATTAGTCGGTTCTCCTGTAGATCCGGAAACCGGAAGATCCTGTACCAAAAAAAAATATTATTTATATTTTGATAATATTAAAGAATATTGTACTGAGATATATTTTAAATTCAGATTGAATTTGAGTATGGGTATATTTATATCCACTCTCACCCTAAATCGTCTATAAAATTGAAACTTGTTGCAAAGGAATAGGATACACGGTTTTGCTATAGAACAATTGGATGAATCAGCTTATGAAGTCATCTATAGTTATTCACAAATAGTATATTGACAGTGTCTTAAATAAATACACATTGAAGACGTGTCAGCACATGATGACCAGTGTACATGCCTCAAAGGCTCAAATGTAACAAAATTCCCAATCACTTTATTTTTCATGACACAAATATAATTAGTCCACCTTTTCAAAATTTGAGTCCACATGGTGCCACGTGTCCCCCTGCACCTTCAAAAAACTTTGCCAACCTCAAAACTCGAAAGTAAGCATCAAAAGTCTCACAACTACTTGTTGGCTTGGGGGCTCAAAGGATAACAAGAAAATAAAGGCAGGGCTTTTTTCTTTGTGCTTTCTTCAAAAGTCGCATTTAGAAAAAGAAGCGTTTTATCAGAGAAAGATGCGATCTTCTACCTTTTTTTTTATGTTGTTTTTTCGGACATGTCTAGAATTAAGTATATGTTTGGTAAAACTAGCTTATAAGTTAGCTGATAGTTGATAAATTAACTTATAATTTATCAGTAATTTTCGAGCTTATATCTTATGATTATAGTTGAAAAGTTAAGTTTATGATAAAAATATTTGGTAAAATTAATTGATAAACTAGTTGAAACAAAAATTTCAACGAGCTTATCTAAAAAAGTTACCTAAACAAACTTATGAGATAATGTCGAGCTTTTTAAAAATCTCGTCCTACCGTACCAAACGAAGCTTATTTAAATACATGATACTTATAACCTAACCAAATATGTTATAAGCTAACTCATTTGTCTACCAAACATAGCCGGTAAACTGTTTTTGAAGCTTTCCAAACAGACACTAAAGAATACTAGAAGAAATTTTAAAATTTGGGGCAAATTTGGAATAATTTTTTTTTTGAATTTGCTGTTCAAATGTGGCCTTAGCCAGTTACTGTACAAAACAGAAGAATATTCCTACATCTGGTAATCAGAATAAAAGTTAATTTTCTGGTTGTTCAATACAAAAATGGATTGGAAATTGTGCCCTGTTTGGACGAAAATGTTGCAACCCCAAAAAACACCATCTTAAGTTCGTTTTGGAGGGGGACCCACCACATGGAAGCATACATACATGTTCACACTTCACAATCAGGGACCACTTTGAAAAAAAAAAAAAAATTGAGCGGGAAAATAGATTTGTCCTTTTAGGCAAACTAGTACGTACCCCGTGCGATGCACGAGACAAAGATATTAAATGAGTTATTTTCACAGTCTTGTTCGTTTAAGTCTAAAAAGTAATAGTGTCATTATCTATCTTCTGCCTATTTTAATCAACGTTACGTCTAAAAAATAATAGGGTTATATGTTTTTTCCACTTCTTTTAACCAGCATTATTTTTTTAGCCGGAACATTAAATATGAGCATGTAGGGCTAACTCGTAAAATAATTAATATATTATCTCACTAAAATATTTATACTAATAAAAAATTAATTTTAGCATATAAATTTATCCTTTGATATAAGATAAAGTAACAGTTTTACTTATCTTGCTCACCATATAATATTTAGTTTTTATTTTATTATATAATAAACAGAAATACTGTTAAATAGTGTAGTAGAATTGTTATAAAATTATATGAATTATTTTTTTTTTTATAATATAGATTTAATATCTTTTTATGTTTTGATAATATAACTAAAATATATTCCTAATGATAATAATATGAGATACGGATTTAAATAATACTATGAATTTATTCCTTAATGTTAAGATATTGAATTAGGTAATATATGATTCACTAATTTGTAATTTGTCTCTTTTTAAATTGAAAATAATCATGTGATTGAGTAGAGATAACAATTATCTACAAATTACTTCATTTAAGAAATAATTTTTAAATTGGTCCAAATGTTGAATGCAGCCAAATTTTTTTGTAACTAAAATGAGAAAAAAAATTTGAATTTCAAATTTTCACTTCAAAACCACGCGTAAATTTCGATGTAAATTTTTATTAAAAATGAATTCAACAAAACTCATAATCTTAGGGGCATTTAATGTTACTTTGTTTTATGATTTAAAAAATTTAAAAACTTTTTAAATATAGTGTGCAATTA